CCCACACACAGAGGGGGTGGATGGGTTCACTGGGCGTTCAAGCGTTTGCGACTAGTCTTACTCTGTCGAGTTTTTCTTCTTCTTTTTCTTCTCTGGCCGTAAAAATCGTACTTCGATATCCCGACAGTTACGTAAGATTCCATTCAGCCCGTAGAGACTGAAATTAAGTACACGTCAAAGTGATTCGGAACGTTGTGAAGAAAGAGAGAAAGAGAGAGAGAGAGAGAGAGAGAGAGAGAGAGAGAGAGAGAGAGAGAGAGAGAGAGGCTGAGAGATGTGGGAGATTGCGGAAAAGACGACCATTTTACCTGACTGTGGTACGATGAGGATTTAAAACATAGTGCCGAAGCTACATAAGTTTCGGAAAGCCGGTTTGGGGATTCGAACCAGTCCAACATCTCCTTCCCCAGTGTGCAAGCGATCTTCATTGTGTTAGAAACCTGCACTTACTGAGGTACATTTTTCATATTTTTAAACCACAAGACAATTTACCTACCAACTGACATCGGTACTTGCTGATTGTTAAATTTAAATTGAAAATAAAATACCCACATGACTATCCCCCCCCCCCCCCTTTAGCAATTCACTATAAAACATTCTTTATTACTTTCCAATGGTAGTTTTTTGCTTACCATTGCAATTGTAAGACAGGACACACTTTTCATTATTTAAATTACTGATAAGATCAACGGGTGCTCACTTATAGTTATAGAATCGACTAATGTGGAATCGAACATCCAGAGATATTGTTATTTGATGCCTTCAATGAACATGCTCTTCACGCCAAATGCTTTGAGTTTGAGTCCACATAGACATTTTGAAAACAAAAAGTGTGCGAAATACACAGAAAAGGAAGGGTGGATCTGCACTTTTGTTCCCTTTTGCACGCGAGCCTATTCTGAAATTCGTAACTTTTCCACGCCAACTCAAAGCAAACTTTATCTACAGCCAAGGCTGCGTGCCTTAAAATTAGGCCAAGAATAATGTAATCTGTTGAGAGCGAAATGGAACTGTCTCCAAGGAGTTTTACTGAGGTTAGTTTGGGGCCGTGTGGGGGTCACGACGGTATCAAATTCCCACGCTTTAGTGTTCTTGCGGCTGTGGTTTATAACGTTATTGGAATTGTTTTTAAAACATCCTTTAGCAGGCGATTTTCCGTTTTCTTACAGTTATTATCTTCTCACTGTCTTTGCTATGTATATTGCTTTTCAGAAACTGTTCCCTTATAGGGCCAGTTTTCTTGACTTTGTTAGCTTTGGAGGCCTATAAAATTATGCCATGTTCTTTTTCCAACTTCCCCTTTGTCATAGTCCTGTCAGAGGCTTGCAGCATTTGCTATCCTTTTTCTGATACTTTCAAGCTGTTTGTTTGCATTTATAAAGAAATTTGATATAATAGTATTCCTTCCTCTTCTTCTTCTTCTTCTTCTTCTTCTTCTTCTTCTTCTTCTTCTTCTTCTTC